TTTTTTTTTTTTTGGTACCAGTGATCGAACTCTGGACCTTGCGCTTCCAAGGCAGGAGGCGGAACCACTGAGCTACATCCCCAGCCCTTTCTTTCTGTTTTTTTTGTGGTTGTTGGTAGTTTTTTTTGCTTGTTTGTTTTTGAGACAAGGTTTCACAATGTAGTCCAGGCTGGCCCCAAACTCCTGGCAGTGCTCCTGCCTCAGCCTCCTGAGTGCTAGGATTACAAGCGTGTGCCACCACATCTGGCTTTGTTTTCTGAGACAAGGTCTTGCTGTGCAGTTCAGTCGTGATTGTCGTTCAGGCTAGCCTGAACCTCACTGAGTAACGTAGGCTGGCGCCCAGCTCCTGGCCATCCTCTTGCCCAGCCTCCCAGTGCTGCCGTCATGGGTGTGTACCACCACACTGGCTTTCGGGTTTTGTTTTTTGAGAGAACGAGTCTTATAGTGCAGGCTGATCTCAAACCTGTGGGCTCCTGCCTCAGCCTCCTGTGTGTGGGGCTCACAGGCCTGTGCCACATGAACTCCGGATGCAGATGCTTCATGGTGGACGCTGCACCCCGCACCCTAGCATGGAGCTCTGAACTAGAAAACAGCAAGGCCCCGGCTGTCCTGTTCGGAGTCCCTGCTCCTGCTGGTGCCCTCTTGCTCTGATCTTCCCACAGTGCCTTCAGCTCAGGACAGAGTCCCGTGCGTCCTGGCAGAAGCTGCACCCTCAGCGGCTTGCCAGCACCAGCGAGTTCCGGTCGTCCTTCAGGGCACCGTTGCCCTGGTCTACGTCCCCCCCTCACCCTCGCAGCGAGGGTGCCAACTCCTTGCTGGGCACGGTGGTCCACCAGGCAGGCGTTGTGCAGGCTGTTGTGGGGTCGCGTGGGGCCAGGCCCGGCCCTGCAGATGTGAGTGGCTCCAGTCCTGCAGAGCGGTCACAGCGCCGAGCCTGATCGCCCTCAAGTCCCATCTTGCATTCTGACTTTGGCCACTGCGAAGCCACCTGCTGTGTACCCTGGACCTCCAGAACCCAAAAGAAACCTCTCTTGTGCAGGCACCAGCCTCGGGGATTTTACCGCAGTAACAGAAAACAGCCTAGCACCCGGGAGCTCAGCAGTGCTCTGAGAGCAAGCCGGAAGTGCGGACGCTGCAGCAGCTGCAGAAGAGGCGCAGCCTTGATGCCTCGCTCCCAGGCTTTCAGGAAATCGAAGACTTCCCTTGAAAGACAGGGCAGAAGGCTCTGGAGCTGGGCAGCCACCCACTTCACCAGCCCCAGGACACGGGTGCTCTTGGCTTGAACCCAGGGCCCGTGCATTGAGCTGCATCCCCGGCCTCTCACCTTTCATTTGGTGACAGGGTTTCTCGCTAAGTCACTGAGTTGCCCAGGCTGGGCTCAAATTGCAGCCCTTAGTGCTGGGATTGCAGGCGGGCACCTCCATGCCCGGTGCACATGTTCTTTAAAGCACTTGTTCTGGGCTGGGGGATTTAGCTCAGTGGTTCCACCGCCTGCCTGGCAAGCACAAGGACCTGAGTTCGATCCCCGGTGCCAAAAAAAATAAAAAATAAATAAAAGATAAAACACTTGTTCTGCTACCAACACCCTTCTCGTTCTCCCTTCCCCAGAACACCAGCAGGTGCTTCGCCACTGACAGCCCTGCCCAGGGTTTAGGTTTAGCTCGCTCGCTTGCTTTGCCCTTTGCCTGGATCCCCCCAGCACTGAATTCGTCCTATAAAGCGGGCAGTGACTCTAGCAGCAAACATGTATGAGAAGAGCAGACCTGGGGCAGGTGCTCCTGAGGCTGCAGGATGTCAAGGGTGGGAGGACTGAGCTGAGGAGGGACATCCTCCTGGGTCTGTGGTGTCCAGGGGGGAGTGACAGGCCCCAGTGGGCTTCCGGGTAACTCGGGAATGAGAGCCAGGCATAGAGGCGCTGGCCCCCACGATGGGGACCACTGTGTCCCAGAGCAGGGGTTAGCCAGCCAGGGCCGAGTACAGACACCATCTATTTTTGTACAGAACAAAGTGAAAAATGTGTCAAAGAGAATCAAAAGACAGAACGGAACTGTATGTAGCCAAAACAGGGAAATAGCCTGACATCTACCAACAGATGACTGACCAATCCATATCACAGAATATTACTCAGCTGTGAAAATGAGTGAGGCAGTGACACCCATTGCCATGTGGAAGAGGCTCAAGACATTAGTGGCTTTTTGTGAAACAAAAGTGATCGCGGGAAAAATTAAAACTATGAACCATCTAAAATGCAAATTAAACAATGTGAAATACCAGTTTTTGCCCATCAGACTGAGAGGGGTCGCTGTGCTGGCTAGGCCTGTCCACCCTCCCCCGTTTTGGCAGAGAGTTAGCCACAGTCTCGCCGCCAGAGGGCAGCTTGTCCACAGCTACCAAAAGCACCTGCACAAAGCGCTTGGCCAGCGGCTCCCCTGGCAGGAGTTTCTCCTACAGAAAAACACTTGCATAAAACTCATGGCAAGGCCCGGACTGTAGCTCAGTGGTGCTGCGCCTGCCTCGCAAGCGCCAGGTCCTGAGTTCGATCTTCGGTACCGAGAAAACAAACAAAACTCGTGGCAAAGCACGGCTCCTAGTGCCAGCAAAACACTGTCCACTGTGGAGTATCTGACCACAGGGAGAAAGCTCTTCTGACCCGGGTGGAAGTGATCTTCAAGAACACCTAATAAGGGGCTGGGGATTTAGCTCAGTGGTTTCACCGCCTGCCTTGCAAGCGCAAGGACCCGAGTTCGATCCCCGGTACCAAAAAAAAGCAAAAAAAAACAAGAACACCTAATAAGGCCGGGGATTTAGCTCAGTGGCTTCGCCTCCTGCTGCGCAAGCGCAAGGACCGGAGTTGGATCCCCGGTACCAAAAGGAAAAAAAAAAAAAAAGAACACCTAAGAGGAGAAATCGAGAGGAAACAACTGCTCCCACCAGGCATCAAATGGCGAGGGGTCCCTAATACTGATATTTCCGGAGCAGGGGAGGCCAGGGCCCAGGGCGGAGACTTCCGGTTGTATAGTCCTGTCTCTGAAATCCCAGCTGTTTTAAAGGTCAGCACACTTTTAAAAGGGGGAGGGGGGAAGGGAAAGTCAGTGTTTAATCTGTTAGGGATGATGAGAAAATTCTGGAAAGGGGCAGTGGTGACTGCCGCACAAGGCAAAAATACTTGATGCCCCTGAATGCATACTTAAATGTTTTGGGTTTTTTCCCCATACTGCGAATCAAATTCAGGACCTTGTGATTGCCAGCCAGGTTCAGCACCACCAAGCTCCACCCTTGGCCCGGTGTTTTGTTTTGTTTTGTTTTGTTGAGGCAGAGTCCACTATGTAGTTCAGGCTGGCCCTGAATTCATGGTGATCCTCCTGCCTCAGCCTCTCGCGTGCGGGGACTACAAGTGTGCACCGCCACCCTTGGCTGTACACTTAGGGTTTTTTGCTCTGTATATTTTACAGTAAAAAACAAATACCTATACATGTGTCCATCCAAAATCCTTGCTGGTGTGTGTGGGGCTGTGTGGACAAAGCCGATCTGTCTTGGACTCAGCTCATCCCTCAGACCCCCACGGCAAGGGGCAGCCTGGCGGGCATAGGGACCCCAGGATCTGGATGCGGGGATCTCAGTAGCAGGGGTGCAGGGGACCCCAGGATGAGGGTCGTGGGGAACCCCAAGATGCGGGCGCAGGGGACCCCAGCGGCAGAAGCCCCAGATGGACCGCCGCGAGCGGTGGCCCGGGGGCCTCCCGACTGTTGCTTAGGAGAAGCCGGTGAAGGGGAGACCCAAGACTAGGCGGGGCCGCCCACTCAGCCCTGCCCCCCAGCCCCCAGCGCGCCGGGCCCGCCTCCGAAATCCCCGCCTCGCGCCTGAGCAGACCCCGCGCCGGGACGGATCCCGCCCCCTCCACCCCGCGAACACTCAGCGCCTGCGCAGACTCCGCCCCGCGGACACTTGGGGCGTGCACTCCGGTAAGCGGGGCGGGCTCAGCGTCGACCGCCCATCGTCCGATGCCACCCATTGGCTGAGAGGTGGGACGTGAGCTGAGACGGGCGGAGATTGGACGGTGTGGAAGCAGCCGGGGCCGCGCGGGCCAATCGCGTGGCGGCGCGTGAATGGAGCGCCCGCCCGGCGGGTCCCGCAGGATTCGCGGTGGTGCGGCTCCGGACTGTTGGACAATGCCCTCAGACGAGTCGTTGGTGGCCGTCACCTGCACTGCGCCGGTCAACATCGCGGTTATCAAATACTGTGAGTGCCACGGCCCGCGCCTGGGGCCACTGAGGCGCCCGAGGGAGTCGCGGCGGGCTCGGAGGCGGCCGGCGGCCGGGCCCCGCGGATCCGGGGCGTGTCGGGCAGCCCGAGCCCAGCGCGCCTGCCCCTCGGCGGCTCCCGACCGAGGCCGTGCACGGCCCTGTGTCCACCCCCGCCCAGCAGCTGCCGCGGCCACTGCCGCTGCCCCGGCCACTGCCGCTGCCCCCTGACAGCGCGGCGTCATTGCCTCCCAGTTCCCCGATGGCCAGAGAGGCTGACCGTCCTTTCCTGTGCAGTTGCATTTGTTGTCTCTGTCCTTTTTCTCCCTTTCGGTGGGGCTGGGCATTGACCCCGGGGCCTTCCCGCTGAGCTACAGTACCTCCGGGCCTTTTTTGTTTTTGAGTCAGGGTCTTGCTAAATCTCCAAACTGCCCAGCCTGGGCTGGTACTTGTGGTCCTCCTACCTCAGCCTCCCACAGAGCCAGGATTATGGGTGTGCCTGGGTGTCTTAATTGTGTAGTTTTACATTTAGGTTGGTGACCCATCTTGAGTTATTTTGTGTATGAGACTTGAGTTGAGGTTCCTTTGTTTAGCCACCCATCGGTGTTCAATTATTTCAGAAACATTTGTTGGAAAGTTGTCCTTCCTCCATGTAACACTTTTGTAGAAAATCATTTGGGGATATATGTGTGGGTCTATTTCTGGGTTCTCTCTTGTTCCTTAGGTTTATGTCCGTCTCTGAGCCTCCACACTGCTTGGATTGCTGAAGCTATGTGAGAAGTCTTAATGTTGGGCAGGGCTGATCTCAGCCCCTCACTGTTTTCAAAATAGAGTAGCTATTCTGGTTTTTCTTGCATTTCTGTACACTACATTGCTTAGCTGGCCTTGTAGCCCAGGCTGGCCTCAAACTCGCAGTAATCCTCCTGCCTCAGCCTCCCAAGAGCTGGCATCACAGGTGTGTGCCCCCACGCTCAGCTCGTGTGCATTTAAGAATAACTTCTCTCTACCTGAAGTCTGTGGACACCGCTGTGCGCCCTCCTGGGTCCGGGTGCCAAGTCCTGCGCCTGCCAAGAGCTGCTATGTGGGTGGAGCTGACTGAGTTTCTGGGACGAATGTCTTCATTTGCTGACCTCCCCTCCGTCCTCCGTTCTGAGTTTGTCCACTAGACTTTCAATTTCAGCGTCTGTCCTGGCTCTCACGTGTCCGTGTGATGCTTTCCCTAGTTTCTTACACCAGTGTCTGGCCACTTCCTGAAGTGTCCTCACCGCGGCTGCTTTCGGGCTCTTGCCAGGTGACCTCACTTCTGCATCTGTTGGCCACTGTCCTCTTCGTGCATGTGAAGTCCCCCTTCCCCCTGCTGTGACAGGTGGTTTTGGTGAACTGGAAGGCCTTCTGCTGTTCTGAGACCCTGGGTCTTGGCACCACCTGGTGGACACAGGTGCAGCCTGGCTCTGCAGGGTGGAGCAGAACCCAGGCTTTCTGGGCACTGTGGGCACAGCCTGGTCCCTCAGCCAGCAGGGTGAAGTCCAGGTGCCCTGTGGTGAGGGCAGGCCCGGCTCCCTCCTGAGGAGGGGGTCGGGCGTCCCCTCTAGCCTGGGGCTGTGCCATGACATGGTGTGGCTGGGCACAGCAGCGACTGGTCCTTTCCTGTCTTGCTGGGTGCCCCGGCCAGGTCAGCAGCTCTGCATTGCCACTTCGGGTGTGGGGCAGGCACCACTGAGCCTGCCCAAGCTGAGGCCCCATCGCGTTTGAGTCTCCTGCTAGGGCTTGGAGGAGCAGCTGGGCTTGGCGGGCAGCAGGGGAGCAGGACATCTGTATGCTTGACAGAGAGGTTTGGAGATGAGATTTGGAGGTAGTGCTCCGGGGCCCCGGCGTGGGCCTTTGCTTCAGGCCTACAGAAGGTGCTTGCTGGTGGCGCCTGCAGGAGATGGATGTGGGTGGAAGTGGGGCAACTGTGCAGTGAGCCTGCTTCTGTCTGGGGACGGGCGGAAGGAAAGATGGCCAAGAGCCACCATGAGCACACTCAGGGCCTGGCACACACACGCTCAGAGGTGATTTGTGGAATAAATGAAAGAAAAGTACTCAGAAGCAATGGTGCCCGGAGGCATTCAGGAGGCTTCCTGAAGGCAGTGGGCAGCAGGAGGGGCTTCGACTGTTGCAGTGAGAGAGCAGGATTGGGCAGGGCTTAGGGCTGCAGAGCAGGGTGCATGACAGCGGGGAGCACCAGTAGGGAGGGAAGCCTGGGACTCACTGACCTCTGCTTGTCTGTTCCAGGGGGCAAGCGAGATGAGCAGCTGATCCTGCCCCTCAACTCCTCTCTGAGCATCACTGTGCACCAGGACCAGGTGAGGCCCGCTGGGCCCAGCGCTTTCCTAAGCAGGAGGAGGGTCCTCCCACAGGACCCCCGGCCAGCATGGCGCCCGGCCCCCTTCTGGTGTCTGAAGGGCTCGGCCATGCACTGGGCCCTCGCTGCAGGATGCTCATCCACCAACCCCGTCCCGTTGGAAGCTGTGTTCTTTTTTTTTTTTTGGTACCGGGGATCGAACTGGGGTCCTTGTGCTTGCGCAGCAGTGAAATCACTGAGCTAAATCCCTGGCCCTGGAAGCTGTAGTCTTTACCAGCAGCTCCCTGCCTCAGCCTCCTGCTCCCCCAGGGTGGCTGGGGAGGGGAGGACGGGCCTGGCCTGGACCTCCCCTGAGAGGCCTGGGTTTTCCTCTCAGCTAAGAACCACCACGACGGCTGCTATCAGCAAGGACTTCACGGAGGACCGGGTCTGGCTGAACGGCCGGGAGGAGGACGTGCGGCAGCCGCGGCTCCAGGCCTGCTTGAGGGAGAGTGAGTGGGGCCTTCCTGGGAGGAGGGCGGGAGGAGTGGGGTGGGGCCGTGCCCTCTTGCAGACCCTGGGCAGGGAGATGCCAGGAGGAGCCACATGGCTCACGGCCTCCCTGCTGCAGTCCGCCGCCTGGCCCGGAAGCGCAGGAGCACAGGAGATGGGGACCCACTGCCCCCCAGTGTCAGTGACAGGGTGCACGTGGCCTCGGTGAACAACTTCCCCACGGCTGCAGGCTTGGCCTCCTCAGCAGCGGGCTTCGCCTGCCTCGGTGAGTGCCCCAGGTCCTCCCTCTGCCAGCCCAGAGCCTGTTCCGAGTGGCTCCCGGCCTGGCCCTGATGGCACGCTTCCTGCCTGCAGCCTACACCCTGGCCCGTGCCTATGGGGTTGAGGGTGACCTCTCGGAAGTGGCTCGCAGGGGCTCGGGCAGCGCGTGTCGCAGTCTGTACGGGGGCTTCGTCGAGTGGCAGATGGGGCAGCAGGCAGATGGCAAGGACAGCGTCGCCCGGCAGGTGGCCCCTGAGTCGCACTGGCCCCAGCTCCGAGTCCTCATCCTGGTGGTGAGTGGGGTGGGCTGAGGGCCAGAGTGACAGTGGGCGGTCCTGGCCGAGGGGTCAGGAGAGGTCCTGTGTGGCAAGTATAGGGCTGGGCGTTGCCTCCCGTCAGGTGAGCGCCGAGCAGAAGCCGATGGGCAGCACGGCAGGCATGCAGACCAGTGTGCAGACCAGCGCCCTGCTCAAGGTGAGGCCCAAGGTGGGCTGTCTGTCCTCCCGTGTGTGGTGGCAGAGCCGAGCCTCCGGGCGCTCTGAACACCTGGCCGCCTTGCAGTTCCGGGCGGAGGCGCTCGTGCCGGCACGCATGGTGGAGATGGCCCGCTGCATCCAGGAGCGAGACTTCCCGGGCTTCGCCGAGCTCACCATGAAGGACAGCAATCAGTTCCACGCCACCTGCCTGGACACCTTCCCGCCCATCTCCTACCTCAGCGACACGTCCCGACGCGTCATGCAGCTAGTGCACCGCTTCAACGCCCACTACGGGCAGACAAAGGTGCTGGGCCAGGGCCGTGTGGGTGTGGGTGTGGGTGTGGCTGTGTCTGTGTGTGCCCCACAAGGATGGCTCCAGGCTATGCCAGGCGTTAATTTCCTGGCCAGAGTGCTAGTAGCAGGCCCCCCTCGCCACCTCTTTCTGAGTTGAGGCAGAAGTGACAGGTGTGAGGTGCCCAGTGGCACTGCTGCCTTGGCCAGAGCTCTGGGAGCCCCTGGGTCCCTGGCAGACAGGATCTGGGCTGGGGGTGGGCAGTGCGGGAACGCTAAGTGACCACTGCGGTTCCAGGTGGCGTACACATTTGATGCGGGCCCCAACGCTGTGCTCTTCACCCTGGATGACACCATGGCTGAGTTTGTGGCTGTCGTGAGGCACACCTTTCCCCCAGAGGCCGATGGAGACAAGTGAGTGTGGGTCCCCTCCCCTCCCAGGTGACAGGCAGGGCCAGGACGAGCGTCCTGCCAGGAGCTCCTGGGGTCCACGGCTCATCCCACCTGGTGGTCACGGGATGTGTACCTGTGATGGTGCCAGTGTCTCCCCTAGTCCTCAGAAATAGCATTCCCCTGGCCAGGCGTGGTGGCACACGCCTGTCAACAGAAGCTGAGGCCAGAGGGTCGCAGATTTGAGCCCAGCCTGGACAGGTACATAGTGAGACTGTCTCAAAAAAACAAAAAAGAGACTCACATGTGCTCACACAGCCTCCTGCCTCGCTTCCCCAGGTTTCTGAAGGGGCTGCCGGTGACACCCGCCCCTATCTCTGATGAGCTGAAAGCCACACTGGCCATGGAGCCTGTCCCTGGAGGTGTCCAGTATGTCATTGCCACGCAGGTGAGTGCCCGGGCACAGTGGCTTCTGCAGGGCCAGGCCTCGGCCCCTGGTTCGGGCATGGACATCAAGGGTGGGGCACAGCCTGGGCTGAGGGTGTGGTTGGAGCCTGTCACCCGTGACCCGGTGCTGGTGCTCGTCCCCAGGTGGGGCCAGGGCCGCAAGTCCTGGATGACCCGGACGCTCACCTCCTGGGCCCTGATGGCCTGCCGAAGCCCAAGCCGGCTGCCTGAGCCTGCTGCCAGACGATGTCTCCCCCTACAGGCTACTCACTGGGACCAGGGACTGGCACAATGGCCAGGCCACGCTTGGGGCCCGGCTGTGGGGGGCTGGTCCCCCAAGTACCTCACTTCCCCGTGGTGCTTCGCTACAGTGGGCGCTAGATGGAGCCCTGTGGAGGGCCCCCTGATGCCGGTGCTGCCCTGGGATGTGCAGGCAGGGGCTCCTGAGGAGGCGCCTCTCTCTGGGGCTTCCCACGGGAAGCCTAACCAGCTGCACCTCTGAGACTCCCTGACCCTGCACTCCCTGACCTCAGGCCACAGTGGGAATGGGAGTGGGATGTTTTTAAAAAGACCAGTGAGCTGGTGGCATCCAGTCTGGGTAATGCAGTGACTTAGATCCTGTCTCACTAAAAAAAAAAAAAAAGAAAAAAGAAAAGAAAAACATGCTGGGGATGTAGAGCCCTGGGTTCAACCCCTAGTGCTGCCAAAAAACAAAACAAATATGAAAAAAACCAAGGGACCAGCAACCCCTCCCTTGCAGAAGGGGCTGCCGAGTGGGCCCAGTGAGGCGGGGCCCATCCCGCAGAATAAACGGTGTTGGTGACTGCGGTCTCCGCCTGCCTCCGCTTCCTGCGTGGCGCGGCCCGGCCACCTCGTGACCCCGCGACGGCAGGGGCCTCTCCTCCCCGAGTCCCCGCGCGGGCCCAGGGCGCACGGCCGGAGCCAATCCCCGCCGCTGGGCCCGGCGGACCCCACGCCCCCAGCACCCTTTCTCCGGGTGACCGTGCGCGTCCCGTCTCTCGGGGGCGAGGCCTCGGGAGCCAGGCTACGTCCCACCCGCCCAGACCTGCGGCTTCCGGGTCCATGGGCGGGGCCGGGTGAGGGGCGGGGCCAGGCGGCTGAGGTGGCGAGCGGAGCGGGCGCGGGGCGCAGAGCGGTCGGCGTCATGGGACAGATCGAGTGGGCTATGTGGGCCAACGAGCAGGCGCTGGCGTCCGGCCTGAGTGAGTGCGCGGCCGGGGCTGCAGTGGGCGCCGTGACCCCGCGGGGAAAGCGGCGGGGCCATGGCGATGGCGGGGCCGGGGGGGGGGGGTTGTGCCCCGCGGCGGTCCGGTCGGGTGGGGTCGGGGTCGGGGTCGGGGTCGGGCCGGCTGCGCGGCGGGGCCTGCAGCTGGGACTGGGAAGGGGGCCCTTCTGCCCCGGCACCCCTCACCCTGACCGCGCAGAGGAGGAAGTGCAGCGGGAAGCGGAATTTCACCCGCGGTTTCCGGGACTCCCTCACCCCGTGCGCTCGAAAAACCCAGCCTGGGACATCGCGGTGGCCCCAGCCCCGAGTGGGGGCTCCACCCTGGGGTCCTGGGGGCTCCCCTTCCCAGAGCCATGGACGGGCCTGGAGTCAGGAGCAGCCTCTCCATCTGGGGTCCGAGCTGTAGGAGGAGTCTAGAGTTTCACAGGGACTGGAACCGCCCAGAGGGACCCCGGGTGGCCTCGACCCTCTGCTTGGCAGTTCCATCTCTGTTCTGCCCAGCACCCCTGGAGGGACCGCGGGAGCAGAGCGGGGTCCAGCTAGTCTGAGCCAGAGGAGCCTGCAGAAGCCCCTCTGCCTCCTGGGGTCCTTTCCAAGGGCCCAGGACCCAGAGGGGCTGGCGCAGATGGAGTGAGCCTGACCCCCGCGCCCGCCTGGGTGGGGCCCAGACTCCAGTCCTGTCCTTCCGTATCTGGGTGGCAGGACTCAGGGCCAGTTGAGAAGGTTCCCCTCTTGTCCTCCTACTCGCCCCAGGACTGTGTCCTGTGTCCTGTTTTCCTGCCCCACTTCCTCCTCCCAAAATTTCCTCCAGGAAGTGGAGGTGACGGCACCCCCAGCTCTGAGCTCCAGCAGGGCACGGACCCTTCTGTGTGCCCCGTGCCTCAGCTCCAGTCCCACTCCTGGGCTGGCCCCTCGCTTTCGTCCAGGTCAGAGCCTGAGGTGCAGACCTGGAGCAGTCGCAGGCTGTGGCCCTGTCCGCACCTGGTGGGACGGAATTGGTCCTCCTGCCAGCCTTCCCCAGGGCACCACCGCCCAGGCCCCCAGCGTGGCACAGGGCAGCTTCTCCTAGTGGCACTTCCCTGCACAAACCTTCCTGGGCTCCAGTGCAGAGCTGAAGCCAGGTTCCAGCTGCTGAGCCCTGTGCCATCCTCCTCCTCCTTCCCTTCTGGCCAAGTGCCCTGAGGCCATGGCTGCTTCTCCCCGAGCTCCTGGGGCTGCCCCCTGCCTTCCTGTGTCAGTGCTGGGTCCCTCACTACACGCTCTTCTAGAACATCCATCCAGCCTGAAGCAGGAGTCTGGTTCCTGCTGTCAGGTGCCTCTGACTATGAGCCAGGAGCCGCCTGTCCTACCTACGCACAGAGTCCACACGCAGTCCTCCCTGTTTGTCACGTGCAGGAGCCCTCAGGCCACCCACCCTTGAGAGCCTGAGTGTCTGCACCCCTTCACCTCTTGATGCTGTGGACAGCGTGCTGTGCCTTGGAGTGGGGCTCCATACCCCCAAGACAGCAGACAGCTAGGAAGTCAATTTATAGCTGAGCCCAGAAGCCAGCGAGGGCAGAAGATGGGCGGGGGTGCAGGCTGGGGATGCCCAGGGGTGCTCTGGCTTTTGTGGAAGGGTCAGGGGCCCTGTGGGCGTTGGGGTCCAGGCTGGGATCTGTGTCCCAGCTGCACAGCAGCAAGGAGCCTCTGGCCTCTAAGGCAAGGTGGGGCCTTCACCGTGGTCCTGGAGCTCAGAGGAGGCCTTCGCAGAGGCAAACCATCCTGTGGCGGTGTTCTCAGTCAGGGCCCAGACAGGGCATAGGAAGCACAAGGCTGTGGGGCGGGGACAGTGAGAGGGTCAGGTCCCAGAGTCCTCACCCCCGCGCTGGAGCTGCCGGAGCTGCTGGCCGGGAGAGAAGGACCTACAGACAAATTCCTCTGAAGGCTTGGGGGGAGAGAGTCGGCCGTGAGAGCAGGACTGGTCCCTGTGGGGCGTGTGCAGATAGAACACACAAAGCCATTAGCAGGTATTGGCCAAAGACCTGAGTGATGGGCATGACGGGAAGGCAGACAGCCTGGGTCGGGTGTCCTGCACAATAAGAACCAACACGTGAGCGTGGGGAGCTCCAGTTCGATACCCAGTGCCCCCCCAAAAGAGAGAAATAGGCTAGTAACAGGCTGCAGACTTCTCACCATCACTAACAGATGGCAGAAGACACTGAATGCACATCTTAGGCCCTGGGAGTAAAACATCACTAGAACTCAGTACCACAGAACTGTTAGGCAAGCATGAGGCACTGCCAGGTTCAGATCTGGGGCCAACAGACCTTCACTGCAAAGACTACCAGAGCTTGCCCCTCAGCAGGAGGGAAACTGAATTCGGGAGAAACAACTGGGATGGAGGAAAGGAAGCCTTGGTAAATACCAACTGTAAATAATGAGAAGGAGTAATTTGGGGGTGAGGATGAAGGTAAACTTTAAAGCCCATCCGAGGCTCAGGAAGAGGGACTTTGAAGCAAATAACCTCAAGCATTGCTGGGTGTTGATTTTAAAATATCAGGGCGGTAGTGCCTTGATATTCTGTAGCCCCGGTGTGAAAACCATGCAGTACCCACCCTGCCTTTGAGAATGCGCAGGTCCGAGTGAGTCTTGGCCCTGACTCAGAATACAAGGACGAAGGGCCCGGCGCCAGCCTGCCTCAGCGTGGGCTCCCTGAGACCTCAGGAGCCAGCACGGGCGAGCACCCCAGCACTGCACCAGGGCCTGGCTAGACCCCGGGTGAAGAAAGACTGAAAACTGTCATCCTTGGGATGCCGGCTGACACTGACAGGGCCTCGGCGCGACGGAAGGTGACGGGCAGCAGGCAGCCCGCGGGGGTGGGTGCAGCCCCCAGGTGCCCCTTGTCCTGAGCTTCCAGCTTCTGCTGAGGATTTCATGGTGTGGGGAGGAAGTGTTAAAGTGTCGCCATGGACACGGCTCCTATAGGAAAGAGGCTTCAGTGACGCTCTGTGAGTCAACAGACAGCAGGAGCAGCAGAAGACCTGTTCCCCGGAGAACACCAGCCGGGCGCGGTGGTGCACGCCTGTAACACAGCACTTGGGAGGCTGAGGCAGGAGGAGCACCATGAGTTCAAGGCCAGCCGGGGCCACAGAGTGGGTCCTTGGCTCAAGAAATAAAAAAAGAAAGAACACAAATAAGTCCAAGATCTTAGTCAATAAAATGCCTTAAAATCAATATTACATTGGATAAAATTAAAATTTAGCTGTATCAGTTTATTCCTAATATCACACACTAGAAGCAACCAAAATATTCCTGAGATAGAAGAATGCGGTTGATTGATACAATAAAAACTACTGGATTAGAAAAAGTAAAAAGGACCTGTCGGCCTGCACAGCTGTATGAGCTTCCGCTTCATGATGAAGAAGCAGGTGCAGGACCCTGAGCGGATGAGATGTCAGCTGGCTGGACACTGGCCACGTCACTGCTCAGCATCATTTCCCTCAGTGAATCACCAGGAACTTGGGGCACAGTGGTGGCGGGTACACCTCGGTGGGAATTTTTGCAATTCCTTACAGTGTTGGGGATGGAAGCCCCCAATGCCGCATGCTAGGTGAGTGCTCGGCACTGTCCGCGCCAGGCCGGTGATGCCCTTGATGCCCTGGCATCTGCGGGGCCTGGCTCTGTCCCCAGGGCCATGGTGGAGAAGAGAGAAGTGGACTGCAACACTCATACCTGTAATCCCAGCACTCGGGAGGCCGAGGCAGGATTGCAGAGAGTTGGAGGCCAGCCCAGCCTACGTAGTGAGTTCAGGGCCAGCCTGAACTACAAAGGGAGACCCTGCCTCAAAAAACAGACAGAATATGAACGGGGCAGATATATGCTCCTCTGAAGAGGCAGAAGCGATGGTACATCCTGCCCCCCAAAAGAAGGGTGCAGACATAGAGTAGGAGATGAAGCTTGACATTAAGGTGGGGCTGAGGAGGGAACAGTGCCAACCAGATGGCAGGGTCCACAACCAGTGACAGGCGCTGGAAGGTTGCTAAGGCTCCCTGTGATGAGGAGCTGCGAGGTCCTCTTGGGTCCAGCATGGAGCACGACAGGTCCAGTGTGGGCCGAGGCCGGTGCCCTGGGAGCTCCTGGGACCCAGTGAGGCTGTCGTCCTCACCGTCCACAGGGACCCAGCTCCCCAACCCCCTTCATCTCGGGGCAACATGAGGCCTGGTGCCCCCAGGGGGAGGGGCTGGGCCAGGCCCGCCGGGGACCAGGAGGGCAGCACCCTAACCCACCTCCTGCCCCGCAGTCCTCATCACCGGCGGCATCGTGGCCACCACCGGACGCTTCGCCCAGTGGTACTTCGGTGCCTACTCCATGTATCCTTCTCCAGAGGCCCGGGGCTGGGGTGGGGACCACAGAGCCACTTGCTGGCAGCGGACAGGGCTGGGTGCTGAGAGCAGAAGGGTGGCCGCCAGTGCCAGTGTGGGTCCTCTGCACCCTCCCTGCCGGCCCAGTGGCCAGGCCTGTGGAGCCGCGAGGCTGCCCAGCTGTGTCCTCCGGCAGGGGCTGCACCTCTCTGTTCCCATCTACATGGGGCTGCTCCATCCTTAACGAGGCTGCAGTGTGGCGGGCGTGTTCGTGTGCCTGCTGGAGTACCCTCGGGGCAAGAGGAGGAAGGGCTCCACCATGGAGCGCTGGTGAGTGGCCTGCGGAGGGCTGGGTGGGCGCCAGGGCTGCGTGGAGCCGGCTCTGACCTCAGTCTGCTCCCACCCCTGCAGTGGGCAGAAGTACATGGCGGCCGTGGTGAAGCTGTTTGGGCCCCTGACCAGGAACTACTACGTCCGGGCCACGCTGCACCTGCTGTGAGCTTTGGGGTGGGGGACAGGACCTGAAGGGACGGGCGGGAGGGCCCCCATGTCCTGGCTCCTGGACGGACAGCCTGTCCTCAGCCCAGCGCCCCCGTCAGGCCACAGTGTCAGGTCTCGCCTGGGTCCCTCCAAGGCGGGCGTCTGGGTCTGGTGGTCACTGTGGGCAGTGCTGGGGGAGGCCGTGCCTGCTCCTCCAAGGCCTGGGAGCCAAGGGGCCAGCCAGGCAGATGGCGGTGTGCGCCAGGCCTGGGCAGAGCTGGCCTCGTGGGTCAGGGGCCCTGGGCCCAAGCAGCCCGTCCTGTGCTGTGCTGGCCCCTGTGGCTCAGCGCCTACCCTGCCCACCCAGGTTGGCGGTGCCCGCGGGCTTCCTGCTGGCCACCATCCTGGGAACCGTGTGCCTGGCCATCGCGAGCGGCATCTACCTGCTGGTGAGTGGCGTCCTTGAGCTCTGCCTCTCGGGGTCCCTGGCCCTGCCCTCAGCCCTTGTGGCTGGAGCTGAAGGAGGTGCCAGGCCGGGAGCTCGGTGTGCCCAGGCGTGTGAGTCTGCCCGTGCCTGTCAGCTGGGTGGTGATGTCGCAGCCGCAGCTTGGCACACACCTGGCTGTCCCACTGTCCCTTCCCTTTCCCAGGCCACCCCATGCCCCTGCGAGTGGGGAGCGAGGGAGGGGAGGCTCGGGTGACGTGGCTGGCCTGGGTCATAGCGTCCCATTTCCAGGGACTTTCTCGTCGAAAGGTCCCTGCTCCAGTCTGAGGCTGAGTCAGGAGGAGTTCACAGCATGACCCCGGATCTTCACACTGAACTCTGTCCCCACCCCTTACTTTATGTTTTACTATTTTCTGGTACCAGAGATCGAACTTGGGACCTTGCACTTGTGAGGCAGGTGGCTGAACCGCTGAGCTAAATCCGCGGCCCTATTTTTCACTTTTTTTTTTGGGTACCGGGGATCGAACTCGGGTCCTTGTGCTTGTGCAGCAGGTGGAAAAACCACTGAGCTAAATCCTGGGCGATTTTTTGCTTTTTCTGAGGCAGGGTCTCTCTCTATAGCTCAGGCTGTCCTTGAGCTCACTGTGTAGCCCAGACTGGCCTGGAACTCGCAGTGATCCTCCTGCCTCAGCCTCCCAGGCGAGCCAGTGACCTTTGTAAGGGCCCTACGTGGTCCCAGCTCTCTGGCAGCCATTCCCAGTTGTCATGGGTACGGCTGTGCTGTCCCCTTTCCTCCAGAGCCGACCCGGTCTCGCTGCAAGCTCCCGTGTGCCAGGCATGTGCACGCAGGGCGCTGCTCGTGTCTAAGCGTGCTCAGTCCCCCCTGTGCCCATCCTGTCTGCCCGCTGCGGCGTGGCTGGTGTGAGGTGTGTGTTCCCCGGGGCCGCCCACAGCCAGCATGCAGGCCAAGCCAGGGCTGCTGGCTAGACCCAGGGCGGGAGCGGAACCAGCTCTGTGCCACCCGGTGCCCACCTTGGCCCTGCATGCCGCTTGCCTCTGCTCTGGCAGTGCCTGCTGGCGGCAGCCTGCGCTGAGCCCACCGGCCCTGCGCTGGGGGTGGGAGCCCTGTGGCTCTGGTTTGGCTCCTCTGCGGGTGTTGGGCGTCCTGGACCTTCCTCTCTGACAGGGGCTAGCTTCGCTGGTGGAGCCCTTCGAGGACACCAGGGCGGCCATCTGTCCATCTGCTCGCTTGCTTGTCTGTCTGCACTCTGCATGCCCCGCTCCCGCTCCAGGGTTGTAAAGCTGTAAAGCTGTCTCCTGCCTCCTCGTGCCAACTCCAGGTCCTCAGGCGCAGTGAGGAGCTGGGTGGGGCTGTGGGCTCTTGGCAGGCACTTCATCTGCCAGGCGGCCCCGCCCCGGTTGGGGACTCAAAGGTGCACACCCCAGGCCTGGCTGTTGCCCTGGAGTCCTGTGTGGGGCTGAGGACTCACCCTGTGCACATGTGTGTTGCGCCCCTGGGTCAGGGAGGGCAACCAGATGCTGTGTCTCCCGTGGGGACCACTGTGGGTCTGCAGATTTTCACCAGGAAGCCGCCTCCAGGGTCTGGAGAAGCCCAAGGCTCTGCCTGGCTTTCCCCGTGGGGCCCTGGCTGTGTGGCCTCAGCCGCCTGAGCTCTCTGAGCCCGCCTGTCACCAGCGAGTCAGACTCGCGCCCACCCCAGGGCCCCTGGCGGGTGAGGGGCCAGGGTGGCAGCTGGCAGCAGGGTGCCCCTCTGTCCCCAGGCGGCCATTCGCGGTGAGCAGTGGATGCCTATCGAGCCCAAGCCCAAGGAACGGCCACAGGTGGAAGCTATCAAGCAGCCACCCAGCAACCCCCCGCCCCGGCCTCCCGTTGAAGCCCGAAAGAAGCCCAGTGAGGAGGAGGAGGCGGAGGCGGCGGCGGCGGGTGGCGGCCCCCAGGTCAACCCCGTCCCGGTGACCGATGAGGTGGTGTAACCCGTCCTGGAGCCCGCCTGTGGCTCTGCCGCCATCGCCGGGTGGCCACTAGAGGGCGCCACGGCCACCCCAATAAACTCGGCGACTGGCTCCTTCCTACGCGTGAGGCTCTTCTCGGGGGAGGCGCCTGCGACAGGGACCCCAGCCCGCACACGTCCCTCCCGCCTGGACCAGCCGCAGCGTGGCTCCGGTTTCCTGGCAGTGTTGTGTGGAGCGCTGTGTCCCTGCCGCGCGGCGCTTGGACTCGGGGCATCCATCACGGGGCAGGCTCGGCCCGGACACCCCGGGGAAGACGTGGGTGCGCAGGGGTCCTGTGGCCGCGGAGGGGGGGAGGTGCAGGTGCAGCCTCCAGCTGCACAGACCACGCAGTGGGGGCCTCTGGCTGCCCAAGTGCTGGGGCTGGCGCACGCGCACGCACATGCACGCGCACTCTCGTACCGAGCAGGCCCTGGCGCCGTCCCACCGAGGGTTTGGCTGCAGACCCTCTGCCTGCCGCCTGCCCCTACAGGCGAGGGTCCTCTGGGTGCCGGGCCTGCCCCAGGCCTGGACCTCGCCGAGTCCCTCTCTGCCCCATCTCCATCCAGTCGGCCTGCGGCCTTGAGGTGCCAACCAAGCCCCACCTTCTGCCCCCACGAGAGCCCCACAGCCTAGACGCCTCCGCCCAGCCACGGCTCTGGCCCCACCGTCGCTCCTCTGCATATGGCCAAGGCAGGCGCCCGCTCAGGGCCTGGCGTGGCTCTCCCTGCTCGTGACAGTCTGCCGAGGGGAGCAGGATTCCGTCTGGTTTACTCCCAGTCTGGCAGTGCCTGTGCTGGACGCATCCTTCAAAGGCCACCTCCCCCCACCGAATCCCTCTGGAGGCCTCTGGGCCCAGGCTTGAGACTGCTCCCCAAAGCCGCCTCCCTGTGCATGGGCACCCCGGGCCGTTGGCCGTGGGCGAGGCAGCTCTGGCTGGGGAGGGAGGGCCTCGCAGCTGCCTGGGACTGTGGCCCATGTCAGCTTCAGGCCCGTGTCCACGGGAGGCACAGGCCCTGGGCGGGGGGACACACTGAGGCTGCTGCTGACCCATACTGCGGCACAGGGCCCGCCTGGGGTTCATCCTTGGGCGAGGGGTAGAGACTGCAGGTGTGCCTCGGGGTTGACGCCCAGTCACACCCAGGCAGAAGAAGCACCATTGCTCCTGCCCAGCTCATCTGCCCGGCACTTGTGCAGCCCTGGGGCAGGCGCTGGGTGGTGCTGGGGGTGGGGGGAGAGGCAGGTTTAGGTTGTGTCTTATTCATGAATTTATATTTGATTTTTTTGCAACAAGGTCTCACTAGCCCAGGCTGGCCTTGAACTCACAATGATCCACCTGCCTCAGCCTCCCAAGCGCTGGGATGAGAGGTGTGCACCAGGACACCCGCATAGCTCACAGGTGAAATAATGATTGTTAAAAGCGGGTACTGCCTCTCCCTGTGGCTGCAAAGAGGAAGTGGAGCCCTGGCCCCAGGGTCCAAGTGGGGCATTGGCAGCAACTTTAAGAAGTTCTGGGAGTTTCTTGAAGCCTCTGTCTCTTGACAAAAGGGTAAACTGAGGCTGGAGAACCATCAGGAGCGAGCCCCTGGGCACGGAGTGCTCCGGATGGCACAGATGCAGCCCACAGCGAGGGACCCTGGGCCATACATAGCAATAAATAGACATAAATAGGGGTGCTGGGCCCAAGTCCGTGTCACTGGGCTGACCTGGGCAGGACGCAGGTGCAGCCCACGGGCACGCGGATGAACTCTGTGTGGAAGGCGAAGGCCCCGGGCGTGGGGGCACAGGCTCGGCGGCGCAGCACGAGCAGGTTCTGGTGCAGGGGCACGGAGTTGAGCGCGGCTGTCTCCCGGCCGGTCCTGCTGTTGATGCAGCCACGGCACAGACACTCAGCCACAGCCAGCTTCTGCGGGTAGCGGTCCTCGTCCACGTCGATGCTGCGGCCAGGCGGTGAGGGTGAGGCTGCACCCTGCCTGCCCACAGCCTGCCCACCTCTGCCCGCCCCTCCCTGCCTGGGCGCCTGGCAAGGGCTGGGCCCGGTGGGGTCTTCCGGGGAGTTGGAGCCCCAAGGCTGGAAAGGGTCTGCCCGCCAGCCCCCAGCTCACCGGTATCTCCAGGGCGAGATGGAGCGCTCATGGGTGTCTGCCTGCAGCACCTTCTCGGGCCTCAGTGTGGGGCACTGAGTCCTGGCCTGGGGCTGCTTGTGTGGCCTGGAGCCAGCTGCCTCCAGGGTGGGCACCAGGGCCACAGGCAGGGCCTGCTCCCACCTGGCATTTCGAGCCAGCAGGTGTAGGGGCACCTGGCCGTGAGGCAGCTCCTCAGCCGAGTAGCAGCGTGGGGTCCCCCAGAGCGGGGGGCCTTGGTGGGCCAGGCTTCCAGGCAGCCAGGCCAGAAACAGGATGCCACGGAGGAGCTGGGGGCAGGAGAGGGCGTGGTCAGGCCCCAGCAGGGGCACCTGCCTTCCATTCCCAGGGGAAAGTGGGGTGCAGGCCTCCCTCTGCAGACAGGAAACTGAGGCTGCCCAGGGAGCAGGCTCCAGGCCAGGGCGGGCTGAGTTCCTCTCAGACCCCTTCCCAGCACTTCCATCCTGGGGGTCGCAGGCCCAAATCCAGGCTCGGGCACTGTCAGGCAGGGTCTGTGTGGCACCAGCTCACCATCATGCTGGCAGTGCTGGCAGCGGCAGGCATGGCTCACAGCAGCAGCAGCTCTGGCGACATCCCAGTAGTACACCTGGCGGAGGCCCTGGCCACGTGCTCTTTATACCTGTGGCCACACCTGGGAAACTCCAGGACTTCCACCTGCACTTCCTCCTCCTGCCCCAGCACTGGAGTGTGCGGACCACGCCCTTCCAGGCCCACACGGTCTGGCCCGGGGATGCTCCCTGGCCTGGCCAGGCCTCCCTGGTTCTTGGACCTGTCACCATCCCCAGGCCCACGCTGGCCTCCACCCACCAGCAGGCACGAACCAGGTGGACAGGCGCACCCTGCCCTGCACAGCTGGGAGCATGAGGACACTACCCAAACCCAAGTCCCCTGAGCTGCCCAGTGTGTTCCTTGTGGGGTCCGGGCTCCGTGTCTGCCACTGGAGGATCCCCTGGCCGAGGAGCACCGGAAGGCGTCACTGCCCATGAGAGCTGTCCCCACCCCGACCTGCTTCCTCTCTGGTCTGGCAGTGGGTGCACGGGACACACTGGGCAGCACTTGGGGATACCACGAGCCCAGGCTGCCCCGGCCTACGGTCAACACTCAGCCACTCGTCTGCTTGCATACCTCCCGTGACAGGGAGCTTGCCATGTGCACAGGTGGCTTAGAGCAACAGAAGTGCATTCATACGTGGTCTGGGGCATGGGCAGAGCCAGCTCTCGGTCTCAGGTTGGCTCTGGAGCCTGACCTGCCTTGGCTTCTGCTGGCCTCACTGCTTATCATGTGGTCTTCAGCCGGCCTTCCACATCTTGTCCCTTGTCTTCTGAGGACACTGGTCACCGTACCAGGGCCTACCCAGGCCCTTGGATCAGGCGTGGCCGGGTGTGCCTGACCCGGGGACAGAGCCATGGGCATGGCTAGCCAGCCTCTGGGCCCGCTTCGGTCAGCCTGGGGTCTCAGGTTCCAGCCCATGTCCTGAAGCCTGGGCCAGCCAGTGAAGGGACAAAGGACGAGGCCTCTGAGGAGCCGTGGTTTCCAGGTGATTGGGCACCAACCCCTGCTGGACCCTCAGAGGCCCTGACCACCCTCTCTTCACCCCTGCCAGTCTCTTGGAGGGGCACTGCCCAGGGGAGGGGCCTCAGGCTGCCATGGCTAAAACCAAGGGACCCAGCTATAAGCTGAGATGCCCAGACCAATGTTGTCTCCCTCCGCCGGCCGGGACCCATGCTCCTGATAGGGACAGATACGGAGACCGAGGTCCATGGAGACAGAGACAGTCCCACGGAAAGAGCTAAGGAGACAGAGACCCAGTGTCGTGGACACCCAGCAGCGGCTGCAGCCCTCACCCTCCTGGGACACCCGCCCTGGCACAAGCTCCTGAGCAGACCCCAGGCCTGGGCTGGCGGCAGGGGTGGTCCCACCTACAGCCGGGCGCCGGGCCTAGGCATTCCCTGTGGGCCGGCACTTGCGGGCCTCAAAAGCTGTGAGGGGGTGGGGCGTCACCGTGCCCTTGCAACTGGCGGACGGACAGACCTCAGGACGTGCCCCGGCACACAGATGGGTCCGCCCCAGGCCACCGAGGCTACCGCGGGTACCTGCAGTGAGCACCCCGGTCTGGCTGCACAGCGCCTGCTCAGCTGTCCGGGGTGGCAAGCGCCATGGCCAGGCCCGCTTGCCTCAGGCCTCAGTGCAGCCAGGCCAGGCCACCATGATGGGAAACCGAGGTGCAGCACGTCCCAGGGGCTGGGGCGCAGTCAGAGGCAGAGCGTGAGCTGGCCCAGCCTGCACAAGCGTCACCAGCACCAGGAAACTGCTTATCAAAATATTTTATTTTAGGAGATCCCTCAAAAAAAAAGACCCTCCACATTAGATGCCCCAACGGTACCCTTGGCCTTTTTTTTTTTTGGTCTTTTCTGTATTCTTTTCCTTTTTAAATCAACTAAAACAATTTGATGCTTCAAATAAAAGGAAAAAGTTTCAATGAGACTGTAGTCGAAGATGCATGTGTAGGCACTGCCTAGCGGCAGGCAGGAGGACACAGTCGTTCCCAGTGAGCAGCCGGTCACCACCGTGGTTGGCGAGGACACAGACGCGCGGGCTCAGCTTCACACAGCCAGCCGGGCCGCACCGCCGGGCGGGACTCTGGCTCCGGGAGGACCGCTTCAGTCTCAGAGGCTGGGACTCCGCATCATCTTCGCTTCCTGTGCGGCTGCTTTTCCAGCTGAGAAACTTTTTTTTTTCTTTTTTAATTTTTAAAAAGAATCACAGCCAAAATAAGACATTAACTGCAAAATCCGAAGTGGCTGCGCTTACCCTATTATAAAAGCTCGTAAGAGTCTGCTACACCTTCCCGGGGATCTTGGCTCGCTTGCGCGCGATGGCGTCCTCCACGGCCTTGAGCTGCTTCAGGAGCTCCTCCCGGCGTGACAGCGTGCTGGCCTTGCCGGCCTTGGTGCCCGGGGCCATGCTGTCTGCAGCTTTGCCGGGCACGCTGGTCACCTTGCTGGAGCTCTTGGACTGGGGTGACAGCTGGCGCTTCCTGCAGGGGGGCGTGAGACAGGATGGCGCCCGGCCCGGGTGGGGTGGCCCCTGGCCCTGCCTGCTCTGGGGTGGCCTGGGCTGCACCCCAACTCCAGCTGAGCTGCAGGAACAGCGCAGTGGCCCGCCCACCCGCCCTCCCTCACGGGCCTCAGAACAGCCTGGTGGGGCAGGCGCGGGCAGGGACTCACCTGTCTGTGGGAGCCACAAGGGCCTTGGAGTTCTGGCTCCTCTGCCGCTCTGGCTTGGGGGAGCCCTGTCTCCCGCCTGACTTTCGGTCCCGGGAACCTGGGAACAGGACAGGATGAGACCCCACTGGCCACACAGGCCAGCAGGGGGACAGCACCCCACAAGAGGTGTCCAGTTCAGGAGTGCTGCACCTCTGGGCTATACCCCACAGGTCTCAGTGCGGAGCTCAGGCTGGCCTCTAACTCATAGTGAACCACCCCATCTCACCGGTTCTGGAAAAGATTTTTTCAGAAAAAATGGTATCCTGTTAAAACACGGTGGTTTAGAATCGGGTGGTGGTGCACACCTGTAATCCCAGCACTTGGGAGGCTGAGGCAGAAGGATCACAAGTTCGCGGCCAGCCTGGGCTATACAGTGAGTGCAAATTCAGCACGAATTACATAGTGAGACCTTGGCTCAAAAAACCAAAAACAACCCACAAAACAGTGAATTATTTAGCTTGTTTTCTGGAGGTGCTGGGTGCAGAGTCCAGAGCCTTGTGCTTCAGCAAGCACTTGCTGCTGAGCTGCACCCCAGTCCTGTTACTTTAAAACAAGCACACACGTGGGAGCCTTAGTCGACAGTCTACACTGCAGTCTGGGCCGGAAGATCCTGGGCCCTTCTCGGGCTTCAGCAGCAGACAGGGTGTCGCCATGATGCGCCGGGAGGCTCACCTCGGTCTGGGGACAGGGTGGCCCGCTTGGCTGGGGGGCTTTGTCGGTCCTTGTCCGCTGGCTCATACCGCTTCCTACTTCCTTTGTCAGCTGCCTGGAACGACACAGTGCCACTAGCATGTGGGGCTGGGCTGCTGCCACGAGGCGGGACACACACAGTCGTGGCCTGTCCTCTGCTGTGCCCTCCTCAGTCAGTGGCTCCCCACTGTTCACGCTGGGGGGTCAGGACCTGGGCGGGGGGACGGGGCCCACCTGGCCAGCTTACCTTGTTCAGCAGCGTCAGCTTGATCTCCTTGTGGGCCACGAAGGAGCCCTGGGGGGGCTGCCCAGGGGCCGTGGGGGCCGGGGCTGTGAGCTGCTGTGAGGGCTTCCCGCTGGCCGCGGGCTTCGAGGACTTGGGCGGCTGCGTGGAGGTGTCCCTTTTTCGCTTTTCCTCCTTAACGCCGTCTTCTTTCTTTGATTTTCCTGCCAGCGGCAAACCCGTCAGGGCTCCTGTGTGCAGTGAGCCCAGCTGCACCCGCCCCTCACAGGCAGCCCTGGCACTGGGCCATACCTCGCTCCTTCTTGGTCTGGGCTGGGGTGGGGGACTGGGAACTGGCCGAGGACACGGGGCTGGCCAGGTCCGCATACATGTCCTCCGAGTCCACGCTGTGCACCGAGCTGCTGCTCGAGGTGGCGCTGGACACCGAGGAGACGCTGCTCACACTCAGGGACCTGCACAGATGGGCAGAGCTGAGCGCGCGGAGCAGAAGACTTCAGGGCCGTGGGGATCCCAAGGAGGAAAGGAGAGCTGAGCTCTGCTCGCTATCCAGGGCCATGGTGCCGGGAAGGGACCCGGGCTGCCCACAGAACAAGTTCACTTCGCACAAGGGAAGGCGGACCACTGCAGGGCAGCGCCGCCAGCTCAGGGCCCCAGGAGGCTGACACAGGACTGCTTGGGCCCAGGGTTTGGGGCCGGGCATGTCTCAAGGAAGAGAAGGGAGATGGTGTTACTGCAGCAAGATTCAGAGGCACTGGAGTGCGCTTCAGGTGAAGTACGCGAGTCAAGGCATGGGCCACAGCCTCTAGTTCTGCACAGCGCAGGCTCCATGTGGACTTGGACGGCATAAAACAGCCCGGCAGCGCCTGCCTGGCCCATCCAGCACAGAAGCCAAGCAGCTCTCCGTGACAGGAGGGGCGAAAGACCCATCTTTTCTACTTTCTCTTAGAGCTTTGTTAGGCTTTAAAACATTCCAGACTGGTTAAGAATCTGGACCAGCACACAGCCCTGCTGCCTAGGAAGGACCGGAGGCTGGCCTGCTGCCGCCTCCTTCCGAACTCTCACAGCAGAGGGCCCTCGGCCCAGGCTGTCTGCTGGCTGCCCCAAAGCTTGGGGGGCCCATCGAGCCGTGCAGGTCCCAGCCACCCACTCCACCCTGATGCCCCCACGACTGGGCGCCCTAGCAGGAAGGGCATATGCTGGTGCCGTGTGCCCACGCCGTGGTAGGGTGCATGCTAAGACTGGGCTGGCCCAAATGCAGAGCCCTCCGGGGGGCACAAGACCTGGATCGGGAGCTGGAGCCACTGTAGCTGCTGCCGCTGCCACTGCCACTGCCGCTGAGCGTTCGCCTGGAACACAGCAGAGAGCTGGGCTCAGAAGCAGCCCTGGCACCGAGAGGCCACCCTGGGACTGAGGCAGCCATCACCTGGATGCACTTCCGAAACTGGCCACCCGCCCCTGGCATGAACTCAGTATCAAAACCTGTAGGGGGCCGGGGATTTAGCTCAGTGGTTTCGCCACCTGCTGCGCAAGCACAAGGACCTGAGTTCGATCCCCGGTACCAAAATAAAAAAAGCCCGGTAGGTACCTACAGAGCCCTTCTCAGCACGAAGACAAGGGCCGTGCCCCAGCATCTCTCTGGGGACACCAAGGCTCAGCAAGGGGACAAGACTGGCCCAGGCCGCAGTGCTCTGGATCCTGGCCTCGGGGCCCAC